CATCTTGTAAAGGAATTACAACGGGATTTACAGGAGGCAAAACACAATATTCATTTTCTTTTTCAATAATATGCCTAGAACACTGCTTCCATAGGTCTGTGGCAGCAATATGAGATACTGCATTTCTTATTGTGGCCAATAGCGATTCACTTAATTGAGGGGTCTGATTATGTTTTCTCACTTTTTTTTTTAAAGCAGCCCAGACCAACTCAATCGGGTTAAAAATGCAGTAATAGGGAGGTAGACGTAATACTTCATGGCCATTTCGCTGAAGCAGATTGTCAACAACATACTCTTTTTCAAATTTTTGTCTTTTAATAAGATCCAATAATATGGCTTTGGTTGATTTTTGTGGTATTTCCATTCCCTTATCCTTCATAAAATCAATAATGTCTTGTTTTTTTGTGCCTGTATTCGGAATTTTGTTTTTCTGTCGGGAATGGTATGGCGCATTGTCCATAATAATCACTGAATTTGGGGAAATGTTTGGTATTAACTGCTGCTCTATCCACTTTTCAAATAAGTCGGAGGTCATGTCCTCATGATAGACGGCACATGATTCTTTGACATTTTTGGCAGATAACAGCAAGGCATTAGGTATAAATCCATTTTCACTGCCAGCATGGAGAATAATGATTCATTTTCCACGGTTGCATGGTGCATTTAAAATGCACTTGTTGCTGTCATCAACCCAGCCGTACTGCACAACATCATGGGTATCATACCACGTTTCATCCAGGTAAATCAGATTTCTTTTCTGCTCTCTATAGATTTTAACTTTGTGCAAAAATTCTTGGCGCAATTCAACGATTCGAGACGACTCCATAATCACCATTCTTTTATCTAATTTTTTGTATTGAAAACCACACAGTTTTACAATACAGTGCAGTGAGTCTAAGCATTTGTAATTATAAAAATCTTCAGGATAATCTTTTAACTTATCCCGTATCATTTCCAACGTGGGCACCAAATTTTCTTTATAAAATCCGTATATTATACGACGAATATCTTCCTGAAAACCCACGTCTATTCTTTTTAATTTTTGCCCTATGCGCTTTCTGTGGAAGGAATGGTTGATTACATCTCCCCATTTTATAACCTGATAAATGATAGACCGACTGATTTTTGTCAGGATACAAATTCTGTTTAAAATTTGATTTTGCGAGAAATCTGGATTTTCGTTTTTCAGACAATCATACATATTTAGGATTACTCTTTGGGTCTGTTCCTCTAAATCTTTATGAAAGAATTCTGCCTGCACAGGTTCATCAACCATCTCCTCGTGGCTTGGAGCATTTTCCCAAGGTCTCCAAAGAGCCATATTTAGGACACACAAGAACAATCAACACAACAATTAAATCAACAAGTAAACTGAGTATTCAAAAGTCAAAAACACACAAACTAATAAAATCTATGAAAAAACACGGACAGACTAAAGAAAACACGTTTATTCACCGCTACACGGCACTGGCTAAACTGTTTCAATTTTCAGTAGCCACCTGCACTTGTTCGGAGCTCTGAAATACACGCTTTCTCATTGGCTATGTCCACGCATAGGCGTGCTTTGCTCCACGTGGACCGGTGAAACTGCCTTTGATCTTATACGGGGGATATTTGCTGCGAAATTTGGCGATTTTTGCAGCAACAGAGCGTGTTAAATATAGATATGTAAAACGCACCCGGTATTTCACAGTGTTTCAAGTGACTTCAGATAAAGTATACAGGGCTTTCCAGCCCCTCCCCCCTACTTATATTTTTAACAGATCAAGTTAACAAACTTACAATTTGGAGTGATGAATTTGATGCATAGGTACTATATATGAACCTTAATATGGCAGTAGAAAATCTCAAAATGGCAGCTGGGCGTCATCTTGGAATGTGTTTTTATATAGAAGAGGGGGGGGGGACAAATTTGGAGGATTTTTTTTTGAAAAAGTAGGGAGAACTTGGCGATTTTTGTGCATGTTCTGAGGAAATTCTGTCCGAACCATCTGGTAATGCTGTGCTTTGTCAGATTCGCCATACTGTCCTAATGTTGTTGCAGCTGCAGGTATCTGTTTTTTTTTATATTAGAATAAATTTCAACAGGGTTGTCCAGATTCAAGCGGCCGGATCTTATACTATAACCTGCACAATACCTGGTGCACGCTTCGATCACTGCGCCCTCAGTGAGGCGACAAGTTCTGGGGCCGTTTTTTGCTCATTTCGCCGATTTTCCTAGTATACCGGGTTTTTAAAATTCGATCCTCACCATTGGAATGTCCGAAATGGCCAGAGATACGAAGTCCTTTGAATGGTATCAAAGTGGCGTATTTAGGTAACTAACAAAATGCCGCTCAGAAAGCTTCAAAATTCAAAAGTACTTCCGAAGAGAGACAGAAAAAACTGGATTTTCCCAAAATCGTTTGAATATTTTTATAATTTATTTGTGGCCAGATTTTAAAATAAATTGCACATTAACATTACCACTTTTTCTCTTCTACATGATGGCATAATTAGAATTGCAGTATGACTCTTCTTCCCTTGCCCTGCAGCATCAACTTATTAATATTATTTTTTTCTTATAGACGCCATATTGGACTTTCGCGCAGATGAATAGTTTGTGTGTGACAGAAACTTCTAGGTAGACCTTGAGACAATCAAATAGTAAATTGTTTCGTATCCCAGGCTAGGCCTCAAATTTAACATAGTAAAAGAGTTTGGAAGACCGAGAAGGAAAGAAATAAATCGAGCCGAGAAAAATGTACACAGAAGATTTTTGCCTACAAAATGATAGACAACATTTTGGACGTTTGTTATGATTCACCTCTCCTGATTTGTGATTATTATTGTTACTATCATCAATAAAACTATATTCAGGTTTCACCATATCGTTTTTATTTTCTTATAATTTTCGTTCCAACAGCAAATTCCAACTAAGGAAATATATCGCTGAATTTAGGACTTAAAACTCCATTCAAATGTACATAATTGCAATATAGCCTCCATATCAAAAAGGGGCACGAAGTTGATGATGGAAGTCGAAAGATGAAATCTCGGATTGAAAATTTGACTACGTCATCTTGTAAAGGAGAATAAGTGATAGATACCTAGAAAGTTCTAGTTTTCTGAAATAACTAAGTATTGGTAATCAGAACAAAATTCTATAAATCTGTGCAAAAATCAAATATGGCGTCCATAATACGTACAACATAGAGTTGATGCTGGAGGACAAGACGCGAAACATCATATTTGTTATTATAATTATACAATCTTATAGAGGAGAAAAAGTGGTAACGTTGATGTGCAATTTATTTTCAAATCCCAATATAAATCAAGCCAGGAAAAAATTTTGGCGATGGGAATAATCGTTTGTTTTTCCTTCTCTCTGCGGAAGTACTTGCAATTTCGAAACTTTCTGAGCGGTATTTTGTTAATGACCTACGAAACTTTGCCCCATTTTAGCGACTTCCTAGATCCCAATGGTGATGGTCGAACTTGAAACGCCCGGTAAAGGAGGTGCAAAATGAGATATCACATGATCTGCCATATATTTCAGTACTAGATGGTCAAACAATAAATCCTAACTAATGACCTCAAAATAAAATTATAATAAAATTCAGGTTATTAACAGAATAGTTCAATTCAGAGTCAAAAGCGTGGAGTGCTTGATATATTAAATCTTACAATCGTTCTATTGGTAACTATCTATGAGAGAAGAGTTATGAAAATGTAGTAAAAGGCACCCCATGCTTTTTACTCTGAATTAAATTATTCTGTTAATAACTTAGATTTTATTACAATTTTATTTTGAGGACATTCATTATGATTGATTGTTTGGCCATCTACTACTGAAATGAGAGAGATAAGAAGAGAAAAATCCCTGGTTGGTGATGTAACAGGTGCAAAAATATTCTACAGACAGGAGTATTTATGAAAGTAAAGAGGTATTTTTAATTTCGTCATTTAAATTTCATAGAAATCTATTTTGCGATGTCAATAGACAATACAAATCAGCGGCTAGATGTTAGGTACTGCAAGAATGTTGTACACAACTCCTACATACTCCTCAAATTTTTTGAAAACACAGCTGGAAAGAGATAGATAAACACTACAGACTACTCGGCTTCACAAAACATATACCCTCGGCTTTCTGCAATCAGCAATGCATGGTTGAGCGTGTCGTGTCGTTGAGTAATTCCTCCGTAGATGGACGCTCACAGCGATCATAGCGAGCAATCGTGGAATGAACTATTTGCACACTAAGAACTACCTAGTCTGCAAGATGACATTTTGTCGTTTTTTTTTTTGACGATTTTAAGGACTTTTATATAATACCCCTCCCGGTCTTCAACTGTATTCTATCAGACAGCCTTTCACGATATAAACAAACATAAGCAGCTCTGATGGAAAGAAACATCGAGGATCATGAAGATGCTCATATCAAATGGATAACTACGTAATTGCTCTAGGAATGTCCCAATTTCGATTTTTCAAAGCGGTTTGTTTATAAACTAGGTTAGGCTAGACACCACGCGATGCCTGATTTGGATACTCACTCACGTATTGGTTCATTATTGCTTTTTGGAGCCTAAAATATATAAATAGGCCACCTGCAAACTTTTCTTGGCTCATACCGCTACCAGCCACTTGTATACAAAGGAGGGTGGGGAAGTACATAATCACTTCCTCAATCTCAATCGAACCCAACTAAAACAAATGAAAATAAATCCAATAATGTGGCTACCTTTACACAACATTACATTGAAGACTTTCATAAGAGGGCCTTGTACATGCTAATAATCTGAAATTTCTTCATTTTCCCTTTATTTCTAATTATCCAGCCTGCTAAGTGGTAATCTGGATGCATGTTTACCTATTTTATATTACAGTGTGTCGTATTAGCGAGTCAGAACGCACGAATTAACATTCGTTGCGCGCAGTTGGTCATAGTTTACGATCGGCCTGCGCTTATACGGAGCTAAGGAATCTGTAAATAATAATTTCACGAACAAATAGCCGACTTGTGGTGCGGATTTCAGTCCGCTTGATTTTTTCGTGCGCCGGGCGGTGCACAGTTAGCCGCTGTAAGTATGAATAATTGCAGATGGATCGCGACGGTTATTAAATGGGGTTGCTATTTGTAGCATATATGCAAGCGAGATGAAATGAAATATAGGCGCGAATTGCCGCATTATCTTCGGACTTTTAGCTCGGTTTGGATTCAATTTCAACAGGGTGGGTTTGTAGGCTGTGAGTGTTTTATATTTAGAGTATTTAGTCTGAAGAAAGTATTTAGTATTTTAGATTGAATCTCGCCAGAAGGAGACAAACCCTTTGGACACAGGCGACTTTAAGGTCAACTGAATAGAGTCGCTTATATGGACGGATTTTACAAAAGATATACGTTCCTGAGGGTAAACGAAAAATTTCTTCATCTAGAGATACAAAAAATGTTGGGTAAATTTTGCTTCCTAGGCCACTGACGAGGAAGCATTGTGTTATGTGATATGTACATCATACATGAAAAGGCTTTTTGAAAATCGGTGCAGTGGTGGCAGAACTACGGAAAACAAAGGATAGAGGTAAAAATCGCTCAAGCTTTGTTTTTAACATTCCAGGGCCTCCTGATCATTCGCAGCAATGCATTTTTTTTAATCTCAAATTGACGCTCAGTAGCAGTCAGTACTGTCACATTCCCACGGGTCAATTTAGTGATCATAAAAACTCTTTTCATCTTTGGGTTATGTAATATTTTCCAATTAAGGAGCATCGTATTGGGTTTAATTTCAGCATTTTTAGATATTATGCGTAATTATGGAGTTATCGACCGGGCCCTCACTAAAAACTCACCCTGTATCTCCTACCTACATGTTAAAAGCACCTCCAGTTTTTGCTGAATAGCTAGAAATGTAAGTTATTTTGACGGTCCTCACTTTTTGTTTAGTTTCTAAAACGTGTACCGCATTTCTCAAAAAGGCACAAAATTTCGTTTAGCTTAAATCATTAACGTTTGAAACGGTCAGATAATAAGCAGGATAGGAAGTGAAGATTTAACTCTTCAAACTACTGCATCCCAAAACTCCCAATCACTCAGCTCGGAAGGCATAAAGGCTGTAATTGTCAACGACAATGACCATACGAGATATCCTGACAAAAATATTTACAGAAATCACAAAAATTGACCCTGTCACATTACCACGGTTCACTTTAGGGGTCATAAAAACTTTCGTCGACATTCGTTATTTGCTATCTCTGCCAAAAATAACGTAACGGAAGGCTAAACCATTCGTTATTTCGCACTGAAAGCTCTCTATTATAGAAATACTTTAAAGAATTGTCATGAAGTTTTTTCATTTTTAGAGGTGGAAGGATTCATTATTTTGTCTTTCGAGGAACCATGCTCTGCTATAGTAGCACATGACGAAATTAAGTGGAATGTTGACAACTGAGCTATAAGTTGACTTGAAACCAGATGAATATATAAGATTAATATTAATAAAGAAGTACTAGTTTCTACTAGCTAAATTTCACGTTCTTCAAGCGCCTATCGTAAATGATAGGGTTTTCGCTCTAAAAGAAAGACTGCTGCAATAGAGAAAATGTTATGTACAATTCGAACGCAAACAACTATCTAAAAATCATCCAAGGAGCTACAAGCAGCTGAAAATTAAGCGGAAATGTTGCACTTTGACTGATTTTTGTAAATAACGTATCTAAAATATATCGCTCTGCCTTTAGAGCAATCGCAGCACTCAGCTTTTTCTCCGTTGCTATTCGCGTACCTATAACAATTTTTTTTAATAATCGTGAAGTACAACTACCCACCCTGTATACATTTCCGGCACTGTACCGCACATTAATATTTAGCGTCAAGAGTTCCTTGACTGACCAATACGAACGGCAGAAACGGTATGTAATGGACGTTGATCAGTGATCATGTTTCAAACGGTACACGCATCTCGGGTGTCTGATTTACAGTTAAAGATCTAGGGATATGAATATTGTGAAGAAATACTGATACTTTGAGCCATATCATTTTTCCTGTAGTGATAATCTTCATTAAGTTATCACAGTCATTGCCTTGTTTTGTGTTGTCGAATACCAAAGCCTGTCCAATTATTCTAACCGGCGCTGACGTTTAGTAATTTCTTTTTACTTTCTACTCCACTGGGCAAGGTGGTACTGTAATCGCAAAAAATGAGTTTTGTCTTCACTACATGTTATATGACGTATACGAAACGGAAAAACGTCACTCATTTCCGTCACTCTGTCGGTCTGTCTGTTTGTCTGTCGGCCTGTCTGTCTGTCGGCCTTTCTGTTTATCGGGCTGTCTGTGTGTCCGCTAATCACCTGGACCGCTAATAACTTAGAAAGTACCTACCGGTCGGATTTTGATGAAATTTTCACACAAGGTTACTAATGTACCCAATATAAAAAAGGTTTTAGTTTTTGAAAATCGGTTCAGTGGCAGAGAAAAATTTCAAAACACGAAAAAATATAAATCGCTCAACTTCATCATTATTGAAAAATCGTTTACAAATTTTTTGATGTTTGTATATTTATATGGTCCCAACTGAGATATCTCTAGGCACCTATCAGATATATTTTACACATCAGATGTTTTTCCGCACATTTGCACCTAAAACTTCACGCGTCACTGCTTCTGCTCTCTGTAACCACCGGAAAGCGTGCCGGGGAGAGGCGACGTTGCCAGATGGACTGTTATACATATTCGAAACTAACATTTTTCTCAGAGGGTGTCACTTGTGCTGAACATAATCCTTCGTGAACTGATGACAGCGATGCGTGGCAGAGCCAACCATACTTGACACCATTTTTTGTCTTTCTAATGCCGTTCTATCTTGTTTTAATTTTTTACTACCCTTACCCTTCAGGTTCTTTTTGCCAAGATAATATTTCTCACGTTTACCTTCAAACCGCAAAACCGTGACCCTGTCGCAAGTAATATTGATGCTGTTCCATAATGACTGGAAAAGAACAAAGCTTACGCATGTGTGAATTCGACAATACAGTGGTGCCAAAGCGTGGAGAGAATAAAGTCAATCTACTTGACTTCATTTTCTGTCTCACAAACCACTTTAAAATAATTTTAATACATACATACCGTTAAACACAGTCACCGTAAACAAATCTGTCGCGAAATCCTTGAAATTACGCGAGTTTCAATAACATCCAAACCATATCATCACTTTAGCGGGATTTGTCAGAGAAACACTAAGTTCCTTCTTAATCCACGTTTAGCAGCTAATGTACAGGGTGTCCAGTGGCGTCTGAAGGCACGGGGTCTCGGGAAGGTAAAACGTCAAAATCGGCAGGAAAATGTCAACTACCACTACGTATATGTATGTCAGCCAGTTGTTAAGGTTTGAGGCTGTTATGGTCTATATCACTATTCATAAACCAGACCGCATTTCTTAAGAATTGGTTATGGATCATTTGATGTAAATGAAACGATCATAATTGTTGTTTTCATGAAGAGGGTTTTTAATAAGGTTCCACCGTTTGCACCAACCGGAATGAATTATGTCTGTGAATCTTGTGACAATGATACTGACACATGAGTACTATATTTTATCTTATAGAAATAACAGTTGAAAGTCTCACCATGGCGACTGGGTGTCATCTAGTAACATTTGCTTTAAATGTAACGAGATGTCGTGTGGCACCTTGTTTGGAAGAATCTTATGGGTATTTTGTAACCCTAGAGTATAATTATAATATAATACCTCTCAAAGTGGCGAACTAGGGATGTGTGAGGCGTTTTTGTATATTGAACTGCTTATAAGTCAACAACCAATCATCAAATCGTTATAGTGTTGAAACGCCCTCGTAGCTGAGACCTTGAGTAACGGTGAAATGTCTCCGCCATATCGACGGCGACGCTTAGGCAACCGAACACACGCCGCCGTGCATCAAGAGCAGCATAGCTCGCAGCCAGAATACGAGAGTATTCGCGACGGCATCTGTATCGATCGACGCCCGTCGAGAAGCATCAACCGCCATCGAGAAGCATCGATCGACATCTAGATAACTTCGCTGTAGAACGCTGGGCTGCTCTGGATTGGCTAGTTTGAACTTAAAAGATGTTTCGCCGACAGCATCAAGGGAGTCGAGTAATCGACAGCGGGATATGAGTCAACATGAGGGAAAAAGGCGATAGTTCAGTCGGCACGCTTATAAATGTGTCATAAATTAGTTGCAAGTGTTGTTATAAATTAGTGTAGGACTTTGGATAGTAAAAATTGTGTTTTTGTTATAATGTATTATATCAAGCTTCTTCCGTTGGAAGGTTCTATCCGAAAATGTAATGAAATATGGAAATACTAAGAAAATGGCGTCCAGAAAGTTGCCTCTGCACTTTCCACGCAACGCTGTAATCAGTTCGTAAAGGATTATGTTCGGCTCAAGCTAGTCCCTTTGAGCTAGCTACAAATATGTATAACAGAAAATCAAACGGATCGCAACAGCCAAACACACAACAATTTGTGCATACTACATAGCCTCATCCATTTCATAATGGATACGGTAGTTTCTGCTCTGCTCTAAGTATACGCCATGTGGCAACCCTGCTGAACCACACCGGTCAAACACATCATAAACGCCAGCCTCGATGCCAAAACACCCCTGCACCCTGCCATTGATGTTGTCAGACTCAAGGCAGGATTCGGCGTATGATCGTCGTTGCATCGAATCGTCCCAACCGACCGCAAATCTCGTCAATAAATATTTCTCTATTGTGCAAATATAGGGGGAAATATGTACTGATAGGTGTGTAAAATTACTGGCGTTGGGTGCGTATAAATATGCTGCAGTCAATAAAATGAGATATACATTTCCCCACCACATACAACCCCCAACCCCCGGTTTTGAATCCATACAAAGAGTTTTCTGAAAATGATCAGGAGTAGTCTTTGCGCCTCAGAGTCGTCAAAAATCAAGTGTACAAAACGCTAACCCTTGTCAGCCTACTAGTCCACCATTTTAAATGTTAGTGATTTTATATTCTACATTAATTTATTAAGTAGTCATAAGTACCTTCAAAATGAAGTGTACTATGTCATCTCATTTAAGATGGTGAAAGTGAAAAGATGGATAGTGGGCCCAAATAACTTCCCTCTCCAAACAAAAATCTTCGGACTCGTTAGAATTTTTGTCCCAAATGCCATTTATGAGAAATTGGCCTTGTTTCGTTTCAACTACCCTGTATATAATCTACGACACTGCACTGGTGCGCTCAATATTTATTGTAATCGGGTACTTTGGATGATGCAAAGAGAAGAGAATGCAGTGTTCTTGGTGGTTCTGACATTCCTGGCCCCATGGAACACTATACATGTAATAACTCTCTGTTACAAATTGAACTTGGTTACATTTATAGTTGTCAAGGGCACTATCTGTCCGTATTATCTGTCGCTACAATTAATGTACCTGTTATCATTTCTTCTTTCAATTGCATTGTTCCTAGATGCATTATACATTCATTAATTATTTGGAATTCTATGAGGTGCTTACGGCAGTGGACAAAAGTAGAAAAATTGATTTTCCAGAAGTAGTAATAACATGCCCTAACAAGAATCTTTCTATACTATTTTCTACAGATACGCAAATAAACTATTGTAACCACGAACGTAATTTAGACCCAAAATTTGATTATGTATCGTAAACCTCTACATCCCAAACTACCGAAAAGGTATCTATTACATTTCTATTTTAATTCAAATTTCCTTTAATATGAAATGTCAAGGATGAAGCTTAAACGATTTTTGAAAACTACAACTTTTGCATAATTGTGTGAAAATTCCATCAAGATCCGAGCACTGCTTTTCAAGTTATAGACGGCCCAAGGAATAGCGGACAGACCGATGGAAATGAGTTAGATGGTTTTTCGTAATGTAAACGTCATATGTGATCCAAAAAACGTAATATTACACTTACATTGGCAACTATTACATTACTTAGGCATAAATCTTTTATAGTTGCTAGGCGAAAATGTGGTGTCAACAGTAGATATTCCTATTATTTCACTTCCAATTCATACACTTTAGTGAAACATAGAGCACGACTGTACGTTACGGCCAAAAAGACTTAAGAAAGGGTAGAGTAAATTAATGATACTGATTTACTAGGAATCAATAACTAAATATGCTTTAAAATTGCAGATACCCCCTTTGTGATTAGCATGGCAGTATATGTCATGTCGGAATTGCCGCAATTGCACTTTCTCAATTGTGTGTTTTGAATTGTTTTTGTGCGAGCAGAAAGATTTATATATGTGGTCTTTCCTAACGAAAAATGAATTTCACCTTGAAACGAGGCGTTTCTGAAATCTCAATTTACAAAATAGCCTCAGAAAATCCCAATAAAACATCCCCTATAATGTTAACTAAACGTTTAAAAATTACTCTATAACAGACCAGACAGCGATCTATAGGCAAAGCATTTTAAACCAACACGCTTCGCCACTGGTAGAAGCCCCCACATGCACCAAAAATAAAATCACAGCTATCTAGAATCGTTGCTACTCAATCTCACTGTGGGCAATAATAAAAATCCCATTGAATACATAAAAATGCACATTTCAATGTGCACGGGTTATAAAATGATATCAATTGAACAATTTGTGCCCATAGGGAGCCATAACGCTGCTGCCTCGGCTGTTATGGACTAGTTTGTATAAACCTATGAAGGTAATTCAAAGTTTTTTCATCTTTGCTTAATGTCTTCCGATCAACATTAAGATAATACGCTGTTAAAGCGTAGGCCGCGGTATAGAGAATACATAAAAATATGAAGTGCATCCCGATCCCGATATGGTAGCTCGATCTCCAAGAATCTCTAGGTCAGAAAAATTCAAAACAGCTGAAAGGTCTGATGGTCATTTTGTACTCCTGATAATTCTACCCTATGGACTATCCACACCATAACACTGGACACTGTATAATAACGCTGTTCGCACGATGCAAAAATTAGGCAAAGGGTAATGCCGCACTGTCGTCAGTCGGTCTTCTGGTTGCTGGCCAAACAGATCGAAGGGAACTTCTCAAACGCTAACCTTCCTTCCGCTTACGTTCCAAGGCTAAGGCGGAAGTGCTTGACAAGGACGCCCCCCCCCCATACCCCCACACCGCCGTCTATTCCAAGGGCTCCTTATACTATGCGGGAAGTAACCTTCAGGCATAATGTCGATGGACATCAACAAAGCTTCTGCCCCTGACTATTGCATTGAGGGGATGTGCAGCGGAGCTTTCTCCATTTATTTTGCGTCCCATCCAGATATCTTACAAATCTGGTATTTTCCCAGAGAATTTGAAATTTGCGTATCTCCAGCCCGTTAAAAAAATAGGATCTGAGACCGACCCTTACATCTAGAAACCTGTAGCTCTGCTTTCTGTTATCAGCAAGGTGATGGAGAAGTCCATAAATAGGGAGCTTCCAGAGTATCTCGAACATTGACTAGCGACAGGCAGTATGGTTTCCAGAACCAGCGATTAACAGGCTACCTCCCAGCCTACGTTATACAACTATGGAGAAACCTCATCCATTTACATGATGAGGCTTATGTCGCTGCTCTTGACATCACGAGAATTTCGATCAGCTGTGGCATGGTGCCCTCTTACCTAAGCTTCCATCCTATGGCATCCCTGAAAAGGTATCCGTTGTAATTAAGAATTTTACATCTTCGTCCCACAATATCAACACGTGTGCTCCCTACAGATCGGTTTCGACCTCGACACTGTGTCTCTTACATTTCAACGACCTCTTCTCCTGTATGATCAATCCTAAGATTCATATGGCGTTAGACTTAGATATAAACATCACCTAACTGATGTTAGAATTGTGTGGAAGTCTGTACTTGATGCCTTTTTTTCACTTCCCACACCTACTGGGGTAATTATTGTAATCGCGAAAATTTTAGAAAATCAGATTTTATATTTTTTAGATGTTATATGAGATCTATATCACGAAAAACCACGTCATTCTTTTCCGTTGGACCGTATGTCTTTCGGTCTGTCTGTCTGCCTGTATAACCGCTAATCCTATAACCGCTTATGACTTGAGATGTACCGCTCGTATTTCGATGAAACTTTTACACAATGTTACTGCTAAGCCAATGACGCAAAACGTTTGGTGGTTTTTGAACATCGGTCCAGTGACGGCAGACAAAAAGGCCTGAAAATAAAAATAAAAATTTTGCTCAAACTTCTTTTTTTGACGTTTCAAAGGATCCTAATCATTTTTAAAAAAAAATTAAAGTGATTCTCCAGAAGCGGCATACTCACTGAAACCCCGAAAGTAGTGCCTGCAGCAATTCTTCATAGAGCGTAGCGTTGCTCTAGGTTTTTCTACCAAAGGTACCTATAAACAACATGTACATCTACACTCGAGCATGTAGGAACCTACTGTTGGTTCCTAGTTTGGTCCTCTTGCACCTTGTTCAGCATCATTCACCTCACCACCCATCTGCCCTTGCTTACATGCGTGGCTAGATTTTCAACAGTGAGCCTCTCGCCGAGCATTAATTCCAGCTGTCTCTGGTAGTCAAACCATCCACTACATTCGAGTAGATGATTAGGAGTATTCTCCTCTCCGTTACAAGATATGAAGTTCACGTACTTTTTCCTACCCTCTTTAGATAGCTGTCAAAACAACTACGTCTTGTGAGGAACTGTGCACCACTATCTTATCAATCCAAATTTTAATATTTGGGATCTCGGCCTTCTAGTCCATGCACCATGGGTAGTGCGCCCCATCAATCCTGCCATCTGACAAGAAGCACCTCCCTTTCTTGGCCTATGGCTTCCGTGCACTTCCTATAAAGCGCGCACCTCTCCCCAGCCAGCAGATCAATTGGCGGGATGCCAGCCACCACCACCAGTGCATCGGTTGAGACCATTCTGTACACGTATACCACGTACAGCACAACATTTCGCTAGCTTCTCAGTATTAGCTGCCTATATTTCTCTTGCATCAAGGCCTTGTTATAGAAAGGGGCTCCGTACAGCAGAATCGAGTTGCTATCACTGCCAAAATCCTACGCCTCTCACCACTGGCGATTTTGTTAGTCTGGAAGTAAGAGACCTTTTAAATTATAATCCAAGAACCATTTGATAATCTCTGTTTCACATAACACGCACGCGACAAAATCACAGTCATACAATTTAATTTTGTTGCAGATGCTCATCGTACAAAGAAGACTACTTTTCCTTCTATTTTTTCTTATCAAACTGACAGAATGCAACAGAAAAAATAGAAGATACAAGGAGCTAAGGCGGCCAGAACCATACGATGTGTTTGATTCTGACTACCTACCGAGCGATGTTCAGGTCGCAACGTATCTGTACAAAGGGATTACTAAAAGGTGAGTGTTTTAGAATCCTCTTACCATCTCGTAGAGTTACGTGTAATAGCCAAGTGCGGTAGCGACACGCAGAAACAATTTAAGCGACAGAATTTTTTTATTTATTACTACTATTATGCTTCCTAATTATGATGAAGTCTAAGCTGGTATCATGATTGGGTTGGTGCATTTGTTGTAATTTTGGTATACGCGTTTGATCAAAAATTTCTGTAACCATCGATGTTATGTAAAAAATAATAGAAGCAAATTTATAGGTAATTAAACTCGATATCATTTTGCTTCCATGAAGATTAGTTATATAGCCAACAGGTTACAAGAAATGTACATGCACTTATAATGACTTAACTAGCAATAATCTAACAATACCACAAAAAACATTTACTGTCGCCAAAATAGTAGGATTTCGTTATACAAAATCTCCCTATTTCTGGGCCTATATTTATTTTATATCGCTTGCTTCGCGAGCATTAGGTTATTTCTCATTCGAATAATACGTTAGCCTCGTCCATCGTTCTGAAAACGCCAAAAGCCCTCCAAAAAATGCTAAAGTCCACCCAGAACTATTTTCGTAAGACGCCGGTTAAGAGTTATGCAACATTCGACTAAAATGTTGCAAACGCATTGTTTATGGATCTGAAACCGAATAAATAATACTTCGCCACCTAAAGGGAATCTTGTTGTTTGCCCTGTGGGAAAATAAGACACACCAGTGTGGCCTTGAGAAGTAAAACATCTGCATGTTTAAGATCCAACAACAAACCATGAAAAAAGCAGGATAACATATAAATGATCCATTAGTTCGGTTGGAGAATATCAATTATTATACCTTTCCTTCAAGAACATACAACCGCATTGGGTCACAGTCCACAGAAGAAGTAGACGGGCAACTGCTGTTTAATTCTATATAGGCTTATTAATCTACCTTCTCTTGCAATTGTGTGGTATTAAATTTTTCTTTTATCATATTAATATTTATTGGCATCGAAACTGGCATGTTTAGCTCTTTTTCAAATATTGGATCGTTTATATCTGGAAAACTATCAACTTTAGAGCAAGGTACCAGAGCACTTTTTGATTAACAATGCCCTAGGAAACTTATTTGTATCAAAAAAATGTTGACGCAAATTTGGGCCTGGCAACATGCAGATTCGTTGAAAGTAGTCCTTTTGAAATAATATTATGCAAGTTGCATGCTAATATAAAGGATGACTTATACAATTAGTGGTTTCTCCGTTATTAAGCTTGCTAGCCATTTTTTCCTTCCGCCGTATCAGTTTTGAAATTATCTTAGCTGTATGCGATTCCATCGCCCCTAAAGAATGTCCTCGTTGGAATATTTTCCAGGATCAATGTTTATTTAAGATGCCGCGAAACTACTGGATACTGTAACAGAATGCAGGTAGGAACCCCTCTCTGCTTGTACGAGTATCTAATATCCAAATTAAGATTAGCATAAAAAGGAAAAAGTACCGAAATACAGGACAGGCAGTAACATGTTTAGTATTGCGAAAAAAAGTCGGTGAGAAACCTTTCGATTCTAATAAATTTCACTGGTCAGCGACAGTGGCCTACAGTTGGTGATCTGATGGTACCAGGGACGTGGAAGAACCATTTTGAGAAGAACGTGTGGAGTAAATTCAATTTTTGAGTTCTTCAAGGTGGTAGTTTGATCACAATTTGTAGAAAGCTTAATGAAACTTTTATGTGTAGACGTGCAAGCATAGCATTGCATTGTTTATGTGAAATTTGAATAAAATCTACAGTTTTCTTTTGAATAATAATCTGCCTTTCTGATAAATCTTCCCATATTATTTTATTTTTCAATTTTTCATAGGAAACTTTAAAAACCTTTAAACATTATAAAGGACAATCGTGATTATTTTCGCAATAAAGGAACAGGAGCAGGAATAGATTGGGGAATTATTTTTTCGTTTTTAGCCTTTTTCTCCGCCGCCAATAGACAAATTGCGAAAATCTATAAAGCTTTTTCGTCCTTGTAGTAGCCTTGTGTAAAAACTTCATCCAAATCGGAACAGTACATTTCATGTTTTTAGCGAGCTAAGGATTAGCGGACTCACAGACAGACCAGCACGCCGAGGGAACTGAGTGAGTGGTTTTTCGTGATGTACGTATACATGCCATATACTTGTATTTGTAACATCCAAAAAACATAATGTCTCGTATTCGAAATTCTTCATAATTACAATAACTCCTCACCCAGTGGCGTAGGAAGTAAAAGTGGGGAGTTTACTTGAAAATTTATCGGATTTTAAAATGAAAATCATAGTCAGGTCAGGTCCACTGGCAGGGGTATACCTGTACTTAAAATTATCCGCAGCTTGAATTTCAGGAATTAAAAATAGATACTTCCCGTGAATAATTAATTTGATCTTCAAATGCCCATGATGGTTGTAGTCAAGGACATGGGCATACTTGAACATAGAGTTTCTTACTCTCTTCACTTCCGGATTTCCGGGTCAAGAATAGGGATATCCAATTGAGCTTATCGTAAGATGAATCTTTCAAAACCGTACAACTATTACACCATGTTCTAATTTCTCCTGAAAATGTTTGACACTGCGCCACTGAGGTGACCGCCCTTCATTCTCATCTGCGTGAAATAAATTGTCAGGTCGCATGTTCTTCCACATCTTGTCAATGTATCGCTCTTAATAGCTTCCCAAATATTTGGAACGGTTATATATTATTGGAGCGACGAATTTATGATGGTATGGTGACCATAAAAATCCGACCGAATCGATTTTCTCTAATTCTGATGGGTCCAAAGACTTCACCGTCTCTATTTCAGGATACTATATATAATATGCGACTTTCTGGAAAACCGCTATTACGTTTTGTAAAATGTCAGGAATTTGTCCCAGTTTTGCAAAACTTAGGTTCTTGATAATATTTAGCCACATGCAGTGTTAGAATGGCCAATACGGATATACAATGCTTTTCAGAAAGGTCTCTCGCTACCTATTTTTTGAAGGCGTCGAACTAGCAAGCTGAAATTCAAAAGGATGTAACTGACATATGAATACTATATTTGAGCGTAAAAATAATAGTTGAAAATTTCGCGATAGCGGCTGAGCGTTATATTGTAAATTTTTTAAAGGGAATGGGGGGTCATATGATCTGACCTTATTTTGTAAGTCCTTCATAACGTATAAAATCACTATCATTGAAAATAGCAGACTAGCAGGCTTTCAAAGTTGAGCATTTTTAAAAATTCAATCAACCAATAATTCAAAACCTAATCATCAAAACATTATACGATATCATTTTGATGATCGGTTGTTGAGCTTTAAGCCACTCAAAGTACAAAAACGCTCAACTTTGACAGCATACTAGTTCCCCAACTTGAAAGATAGTGCTTTCGTATTCTAGGATTATAAAGTATTCATCATTTAATATATAAAAAGTTCCCAGCTTTGCCAGCCCACTAGGCCGCAACTTTCACAAATAGCAAATGTACGATCCAGAGTTGTAAAGTACTAACAAGGCGCTTCTAAAGTAATCAACCAATGCTCACCTCTCGGTTTTTGGTTTGGAGCTGTATCCAAACACAAACAATCCTAAAGTAACTCTCTATATTATTTTGTTGAGTGACGCAAAATATGGCATTCCGTTTAAAAAATGTACGTTTGTGTTGCGACGTGGGTATGAATTATTCCGCAGAGAGCGGCTTATTCCTTAAGTAAAGAGCATATGCTTGCCTATATTTTTTTAAATAACTTTTCTAGATAGCTTTCATGAAAACAAGTCGACTGATCCCAGACTCTGTAGACAAGATTCATGTAAAAACTCATATGTGTAGCCTCCTCAAGTCTCATCTAAGGCAGATGAATAAACAAAAGAGCACATCTCCATCATTCTTTGAACCTGCCTGACAGATACACCTCATTGAAAATAATCACTTTTGGTGGAAACCAAGCATCACCTTATTATACTTTTTGACAACTACCGTGAAGTAAGGAAAAAAAAATAGTTGGTTACTCAAGAGCATGTGAAGGGTCCATAAATATGATGAACGTCTGACATATATGATGTATCGTGCCGAGTAATTCACGAAATGTTGCAAGAATATGTACTTACTTCTACCTCGCTTTATACCAGGCAGCTACATAAACTTCCATAGCATTATTGAGCAAACAAATAGCGTGAAGTAGGTTGACTCTACGCTTCCCACGCAACTATGTAATCAGTTCATAAAAAATCATTATGACTATATATAAAAGAGAAGCTGAGCGGGCTGTAGACTCAAAACAGAGATAACAAATTAAACATAGAAAAAAATCAAGAACGTGTCATAAGCAAACTGAAGTTTGCCACGCCTTCTTTGGTTAATTAATAAAACACAATGATAAATACCATCTAACGGTTGCTCCAAGCAAAACAGTTGTCTAGTGGCGTGCAAGTTTAGGCCCTAGCTCTACAAAGCGGAGAGTAGGGGGGGGGGGTTAAGAGTGTCAGTGACTTAGGACGGATTAAGCCACAACTCCTCGAGATGATAGTCGGAACCTATTTTGCTTGACCACCACACAAAAGGAGAATCTAACAGAGATGACGAAATGTAAGTAGCAGTACACACAGGGAGAGCCAAATAAACAAGATATTAAATGAATCACAATATATTGATTAATAAAAAAAACGCACATGTGCTCCACTACTGGAATGCGAATAATAAAAAAAAGAAAGGATGTTATAAATCTTAAATACAACCTGACAAAATTATTTTTCGAGATAGCCACGCGAAACGTCTACCATGGTATACGCCAGAAGTATTTACAGATATTTTGCGCCGAAATACTAAACTTATCTGTAGGTCTTCTTTGTCAGGCGCGGCCGAGATGTCCTCAACTCTGGTCAAAAAGTGGCCAGTAGTGGGCACGTCACTGGGCAGGGGCTGATTGCCTCGTTGCCAAAAATTATGGTAGTAAAAAAACTCTAGAGGGAGAAAGACTGTTTAAAAATCGCACTTGAAGCAAAACCATGTA